ATACTGGCTAAACAGTGTAATTTCTCCAGTGGTGTAGGGAGCAGACACCCCGTGATAATGTGGCATTTATTGTTATTATTATTATTATTATTATTATTATTATTATTTCCACTGTTTTAACATGGTGTTCCACACTGGGCATGCATGCTCAGCAGCAGAATAGCATAGCGCAAGGGCAGACGTCTTCACTGTATCTGGTTGTGATCCCCAGGTTGTACCAGTCAGCTTTCATATATTGTTTCTAGCGCCCACTTTTTTGCTTGATATTTAGGCAGTGCTTCTTGTAGGTCAGGGCACGGTCCAGGGTAACTCCCCGGTATTTGGGTGTGCTGCAATGCTCCAGTGGGATTACTTTCCAGGTAATCCTCAGAAATCAGGATGCTTGTATGTTCTTAAGAACTGGAAAAAGGGAGAAATCACCAAAGAAGAATTGAAACAAATAACCAACTCCTGTAGGGAAAAGGTTTGCAAGACTAAAAAGCAAAATGAACTCAGGCTTGCCATGGACATAAAAAACAACAAAAGGGCTTCTTTTCTTATGTCAGTAGAAAAAGGAAAAACAAGGAGGCGATAGGGCCTCTTCGAGGAGAAGATGGGCAATGCTGACAGGGGATAGGGAAAAGGCAGAACTACTTAATGCCTTCTTTGCCTCGGTCTTCTCACAAAAAGAAGTCTTCAACCTCAGCAAGATGGAGTGGATGAGGGATTTGAGGACATCCAACCCCAAATTGGGAAACAAGTCGTACAGGAATACCTGGCCGCTCTAAATGAGTTCAAGTCCCCAGGGCCAGATCAACTACACCCAAGAGTATTGAAGGAACTAGCGGAAGTCATTTCGGAACCATTGGCAACCATCTTTGAGAGTTCTTGGAGAACAGGAGAAGTTCCAGCAGATTGGAGGAGGGCCAATGTGGTCCCAATCTTCAAGAAGGGAAAAAAGGATGACCCAAACAACTACCGTCCGGTCAGCCTCACGTCAATACCAGGCAAGATTCTGGAAAAGATTGTTAAGGAAGTGGTCTGCAAACACTTAGAAACAAATGCGGTCATTGCTAATAGTCAACATGGATTTATCAAAAACAAGTCATGCCAGACTAATCTGATCTCTTTTTTCGATAGAGTTACAAGCTGGGTAGATGCGGGAAATGCCGTGGATGTAGCGTACCTGGATTTCAGTAAGGCCTTCGACAAGGTCCCCCATGACCTTCTGGCAAGGAAACTAGTCCAATGTGGGCTAGGCAAAACTACGGTGAGGTGGATCTGGAATTGGTTAAATGGATGAACACAGAGAGTGCTCACTAATGCTTCCTCTTCATCCTGGAAAGAAGTGACGAGCGGAGTGCCGCAGGGTTCCGTCCTGGGCCCGGTCCTGTTCAACATCTTTATTAATGACTTAGATGAAGGGTTAGAAGGCATGATCATCAAGTTTGCAGACGACACCAAATTGGGAGGGATAGCCAATACTCCAGAGGACAGGAGCAGGATTCAAAATGATCTTGACAGATTAGAGAGATGATGGGCCAAAACTAACAAAATGAAGTTCAACAGTGACAAATGCAAGATACTCCACTTTGGCAGGAAAAACGAAATGCAAAGATACAGAATGGGGATGCCTGGCTCGAGAGCAGTACGTGTGAAAAAGATCTTGGAGTCCTCGTGGACAACAAGTTAAACATGAGCCAACAATGTGATGTGGCGGTAAAAAAAGCCAATGGGATTTTGGCCTGCATCAATAGGAGCATAGTGTCTAGATCCAGGGAAGTAATGCTACCCCTCTATTCCGCTTTGGTTAGACCACACCTGGAATATTGTGTCCAATTCTGGGCACCACAATTCAAGAGAGATATTGACAAGCTGGAATGTGTCCGAGGAGAGCGACTAAAATGATAAAAGGTCTGGAGAACAAGCCCTATGAGGAGCGGCTTAAGGAGCTGGGCATGTTTAGCCTGAAGAAGAGAAGGCTGAGAGGGGATATGATAGCCATGTATCACCATGTGAGAGGAAGCCACAGGGAGGAGGGAGCAAGCTTGTTTTCTGCTTCCCTGGAGACTAGGACGCGGAACAATGGCTTCAAACTACAAGAGAGGAGATTCCATCTGAACATGAGGAAGAACTTCCTGACTGTGAGAGCTGTTCAGCAGTGGAACTCTCTGCCCCGGAGTGTGGTGGAGGCTCCTTCTTTGGAAGCTTTTAAACAGAGGCTGGATGGCCATCTGTCAGGGGTGATTTGAATGCAATATTCCTGCTTCTTGGCAGGGGGTTGGACTGGATGGCCCATGAGGTCTCTTCCAACTCTTTGATTCTATGATTCTATGATTAAGATGAAAAGCACATGTCTGTGTTTAAGATGGATTAGGAATCAGCTTGTTTTTCTTGTAATAGGCAGTAAGAACACTTAGAGCTTCTGAGAGCTTCTGTTCAACCATCTCAAAGTTCCCTGCTTGAGCGGTAACAGCATGATCGTCAGCATAGATGAAACTCTCTGTCCCTTCTGGCTGTGGCTGGTCCATTTGTGTAAATGTTGAACACTGATGGAGCAAGCATGCTCCCCTGAGGCAGGCCGTTCTTCTGTTTCCGTCAGAAGAGGGAAGGCAAGCAAGACCACTGAACTCTGCATGTTTCTGAAACAAGATTAACTCAAGCCATTACACTACTCCAAGCAAGTTCGGGTTTAGCAAAATCTGAGCCAAAAGAATAAAGAGGTGGAAAAGGGGAGAAAATGTACTTACCAAAAAAGGATTAAATGAATTGTTTTGTCTGCTCTTTGCAGCAGAAGAGGATTCCTGATAGATAAATTAGTACTCTGTGATAGCTGGTGGCATCTCAGGTGAATAGCCAATTTGTCCCCAGTGTTCAGGGCTACTTCTATTTCATATTTTAGCATTTATCACCTCTATTTTTTAAAAAAGTTATTTACTATTATTATAATTTTTTTCTTTCCTCTATTTGGATGCTACTTCTTCCCTTACACTTTCCTAATTTTGATATTATATTGTATATACATTATTATTATTATTATTATTATTATTATTATTATATCAGCTTTTTGGTACATTTTCAGATCTTTTTTCTTTTCTTTTTTCATTTTGGGATTTTTTTCAACCCATGGAATTATTTTTCCCCCTTTTCTTTTTTTAAAAAACTCATTCCTCCCTAGCTACTTTCCGTTCTCTTTTGAATGTGAAAACTCAGTTTTAAAGTACTAAAATGGTGTTGGGCAATACATCTTTTAATACATAGTTTGTGGTTTTTTCTATTGTCTATTTTATAAGAATGTTGGAAGACAGATGTAAATGCCCACCTTCTCTGGCCCATAAAAGGAATAACCTATACTGAACACATAAAAACAATGTAAACATCACAAAAACCTTATGCCTAAGCCACATGTAAAGGCACAATTTCATATTGACAGATCTGAAGTTGTGGAGTGGTAGCTGTATCTGCAAAGAATACCTGAAAAGTTAATTGTATGAAAACCACAATATCGCCCCTCGCTCACTTCTTCTTAACAGCAGTATATCTGGATTCTGATCACTTTATTTCCTCCTCTTGAGTAACTAAAAAGTCTAAGGGCTATCACATGCCTCAAGATGTCATTCATAGCTGACTTTGTCTAAATTCAGTGTGTACCTTTTGTAACGCACAAAATGAGTGAAAATATATTTTTAGTTAAGAAAATGTTCCTTAGACAACAGAAAACCCCAGCTATATCGCAACATGCTAAAGAAACTGGAACAAAATGGAATAACAAAGATTGAGGACTTACTAAAACCAGACGGGACTGTAATTCAATGGGAGGAAATAAAAGATAAATGCGGGCATGGAAATTGGTTACAATGGGGAGGGCTGTCTAAAAAGCTAATAGAATTGAAGAATAAGGAAACCTCAGAAACAAATCTCGACAAAATAATAAAATGGAAAGTAGAGAGGGAGAAAGGAATCATGGGATTTATATATAACACAATCACCGAAATACAATACAACACAAAATCTACCCTAATAGAAGTCTGGAAGGAGGAATTAAGTTGCAGTGAGAGAGAAATAGACAATTGGATTAATTCAATCAATAAAATAAAACACCTAAAGATTAAAGAAATGCAACGAAAAATATTGACAAAATGGTACAGAACTCCTGTGCAACTGGCGCATATCACAAAAACGTGCCCAAAATTATGTTGGCACAACTGTGGTAAAATAGGAACATATGCCCACATGTGGTGGGAATGTGAAAAAATCCAAAAGTTCCAAGAAATAATCAGGAAAGAAATGGAGGAGCTATTAGGGATCAAGATAGAATGGAATAAGGCCCAATTTTTCACTCAGAAATTCGAAAATAAAGAGGAATATAAGGAAAGTGAGGAAATAATAAAACATATGATAGAGGGAATTAAAGCCTCAGTGGCCCTGGGCTGGAAAGACCACAAGAAATGGGATACAAAAACCTGGTACAAATATTTAGCAGATTACCTTCTTCAAGATTATATTAGCGAAAGGAAAAGTTACTATATGACGGGTCAAAGCAAAAAGACATGGAAAGCAAAATGGAAGGGTCTCATATATAGAATAAAGGGGAAAGATAAATATACGGTGTTGAACAAAACTATTCTCATGATTGAACAATTGTAATAAACACAGCTAAAGTATTTATTTGTTCCCGGGGGGGAGGGGTGTGTGCTGGTGGCGGGATTGGGGAAAAAAACTGGTATTTTGAATGTTATTTTCAAAGATGGTATGTTTCTATGTATTATACAATAATAATAATAAAATTGATTGACAGATAGAATCAATAATAAAATTGATTGACAGATAGAAAAAAAGTTAAGAAAATGCTGCACTGACTAGCCCAATTCCAGTAGCAGTATTTTGTTCCAAATTCCTAAAGTTATATTTCAACTTTATTGTTCAAATATCTTCTAACATACACTATAAACCCATTGTCCAGAGCATAAAGGTGTACAAGGAGGCCATTGCTTTTCCTGTGCAAGCCAGAATTTTCTTCAGTCATGCCAATCGCAGGTCCAAAAGAATGTAAGAGATGACAAAGTATTCAGTGCTTGAATGCAGGTACAAAATGCAGAGAAAATTATCAAGATGAAATCACTAGTTTGCCTTTTGTTTCTTATAAATACTATGTTTTCCATAGATGATTATTCTTGCCATCACCTCATCAGATATCCAACTTGGTATAAGGTGTATCAGCCAGACCTAAAAATGATGGAGAGAAAGAGACTCATGATCCAACATCTAAAGACTGACATAGCAATAATAAAATCATAGGGTTGGAAGAGACCACATGGGCCATCTAATCCAACCCCCTGCAATGCAGGAAAAACATTTGCTCCCCACAAACAGTAGTAGTAGAATATTTTTGCCACCACTTTTATTTACACACACTTGATACCGAACAAGACAATCATTGCATCTTCCCTTATGCGTTCCTCAAAATGATATACCGAGGTATATTGCCTGGAGGAATGCATACATATATAAAGTCCAAGTAAGCTGTGCATTTCAGGGCACAGACTTTCCAGTTTACAGACAGCTAACTACTATTACAATTCAGAAAAATTATACAAAATTCACATTTTTCCTCATATAATATATAATAAGAGTGATCAACTTGGGAAAAAACATACCAAAAATTCATGAAATGGATATCCAGCTGTTTCAGACACAAGGCCAACTGTGTTGATGGCATATTTTACAAAACGTTCAGGCGTAGGTCTAAAAACGTTTGGTCTGGAAATCTTAGACATTTTTGTAAACACCAAATCTGGCACAAAACTCTGAAAATAATAATAATAATGAAAGAAATAGAGTGTGGTAAATATTATCATATCTAGAAACAGATTTCACTGTAGATGACTAGACATTTAATATCCAGAGTATATATTTCCTACACAATTTCTGAATATAGTATCCTACATGAAAGCCCCTCTTAATGTAACCAATGGTTTTCATCTGATTTCTGACTTCATTTGCCAAAAGGACATGCACTGCCAATTTAGCTATGAGAGAACCTGACATGAGATGACAGATAAAAGCTTATGTCATCCTGTTATTCTGTAGCCTTGGATCCCATGTTTTCTTCTTCTCAGTGTCTCTAAAAGCTTCATAAAGTGGAAACCAACAGGAAAGTGGAAGACTGTATTATAGGAAGATAGACCCAAACAAAGAAGTCAAACTCTTGAATCTGTAAGGCTTAAGCAATAACAGAGTGACATAGAGGCTTCTCAATCTTTGGTAGGATGAAGCTTCACTGATGGCAATTAACATCAAACTTTGGTGGGCACCACCCATTTTATCAGATACTATAAATAGCTGTAACACAGGAAGCATTTTGATTTTCCCTCCCTCCCTCCCTCTCTCTCTCTATATATATATATTCTGCTTTTTGGTTTTGCAAACTGATCATCTCCTTAAAATGCGCCTTTGAATAATGGTTTAGCTACTGATTCAATCTGCCTAGCCCCAATCTTTCATTGAATCTCCAGTATTTCATTTCCAGACCCGGCCCTACAGTTTGCATTTGCACAAGCCCTTGTCCTGTCCTACTGGTATTAAATCTGCTCATGCCCACTTTTCTCGGCTAGTGATTGTTTGATGCTTGGTCTATGGTATATGATGTTTTACATTTTATTGGTTTTACTGTTTTAATATATATTTACTGTTATATTGTGTTACTTTGTAAAATTTGTTTATATTGGGCTTGGAACCCATGTAAGCTGCCCGAGTTCCTTTGGGGAGATGGAGGTGGGATATAAGAATAAAGTGATAATAATTTAAGCTATTAATAAGCCCAATAAGCTGATAAAGTTGTTTAGTCTGTTGAATTTCAATATGCAACATTTCCTACAAGATGACAGTCGCAGATGCGAGTCACAGCTGGATGAACTTGATGTAGGCATTTCTTTATATGGACACTAGCTATCTTATTTTGATGTGTCAATGCAATTTGTAGACAGGATACAATTCTAGGTGTTTACAGTTTAACGAGAGAGTGGTTTTGGAAAGGGGTGATCTTCAAACACACTGTGGGGTCTGGAAAACTCTTTGGAGCAGTGTTTCTCAACCTGGGATCGGGACCCCTGGGGGTGTCGCAAGGGGCTTTCAGAGAGGTTGCCAAAGACATCAGAATACAAATATTTTTGATGGTCTTTGGAACACCTTTGGCAGAGAAGGCTGTAGATCTCTCTGCCTGTCCTTCTCTTCCTTTTTGAAAACAGATGGCAAATCTTCCCACCAAAAAGCCCTCCTGCTGCTGTGATTGGCCTGCCTCTCAGCCAAGGGAAGGGATGTTTCTGAGACTCCAAGCAGGGACGAGAGAGCAGGTGAACTACAACTCCCATATGTCAAGGGCAATCACCCCCACCCCACCCCTTATTGACAGCTGGTCACACTGGGTTTGTGTGCCCAGTTTGGTTCAGATCCATCATTGGTGGGGGTCACTGGGTTCTTTGGATGCAGGTAGAACTACAATTACCATTTACCATCTACAACTACAATTACTATTTACCAATTAAAATTACCATCATGTTGGGTCAGCCCAACCCTACCAGTATTCAAATTTGGGCATATTCAGTATTTGTGCCAGATTTGGACCAATGAATGAAAATACATCCTGCATATATTTACATTAAAAATTCATATCAGTAGCAAAGTTACAGTTAGGAAGTAGCAGCAAAAATAATTTTATGGTTGGGGGTCACCACAACATGTGAAATGGTATTAAGGGCTCACAGCCAGTGGTGAGAGTTACACAGGAGAGGAAGGAATGCCTAGGTCTCAATATTCCAACAATTAGCTATAGCACTAGGTGGCACCAAAGAATCAACCACTGGATGCTACAACTGAGCTAAAACTAAAACAGTGGTAATATTATATCATTTTTTTACCTCAAGACATGTCTATATCTTCCTAATATAAGCCTTTAAATATATACTATACTTGGTTCTACTTTTTTCTAGAATAGCCTATCTCTATTTAAATAATTAAATGTTTCTTTTTTTAAAAGTATGTTGCTTGTATTCATTTCTCCACAAGGATGGAACCCAAGGCTTATTTGCACAAAATGTGTGTCTGTGTATCAGAGTTAAACATTTAAAAATATATTCTACTAAATGTATGACCATATAACAATGGCTAAAAAGAGAGTGGAAGTTTACAGTGCTCATAACAAATGAAATGTCAGATGAGAACAGAAACCATTTTAATTGCTTTTATAGTATTTATCCTTGTTGTATCCTTACATAACTATTTATCGAAAACCTATTTAGCTTCTCGGGGGGGGGGGGGGGGGGGGGGTGTTTATTCCAACTGGCCTGAATCTGACTGGCAACTGTGCCCCAGAAGACCTTTTCCTTAGCTGCCCCAAAACTATGGAATGATTTGCCAAAAGACATTCAATAGTTAAATGAGCTGTCAGAATCTTAAACACAGAGCCCCCAGTGGCACAATGGGTTAAACCCTTGTGACGACAGGACTGAAGACCGACAGGTCGGAGGTTTGAATCCGGGGAGAGCGTGGGTGGGCTCCTTCTGGCAGCTCCAGCTCCCCATGCAGGGACATGAGAGAAGCCTTCCACAAGGACGGTAAAACATCAAAACATCAGGGCATCCCCTGGGCAACGTCCTTGCAGACGGCCAATTCTCTCACACCAGAAGCAACTTGCAGTTTCTCAAGTCACGCCTAAAACACAATTGATGACTATCTTTTTTGACAGACTTATTCACTCAATTTTAACTTTGAATGTGAAATTGTTATTAGTATTGGTGTTTTACTCCAGCAAAGGATCACCGCCTTGTCGGGGCGCTGGAGCTTGAGCACCTCAATGATGTCATGAGCGAAACCGTGAAGGGACACCCAAGACGGGACGGTTGTGGCAGAGAGGTCAGACCAAGCGTGATCCCTGGGGAAGGCAATGGCAAACCACGCCAGTATCCTTGCCAAGAAAACTAAATGGACCAGTACAACCAGAGATATGTCGGTATGCCATTGGAAGATGGGACTCCCAGGTCGGAAGATGGCCAAAATGCTACTGGGGAGGGGCAGAGGATAAGTTCAACTAGCCCCAGATGTGATGACGCAGCTAGCTCAAAGCCGAAAGGAAGGCTAGCGGCCGACGGTACTGGAGGTGAACGACGAATCCGATGCTCTAAAGATCAACACACCATAGGACCTGGAATGTAAGATCTATGAGCCAGGGCAAATTGGATGTTGTTATTGGTGAGATGTCAAGACTAAAGATAGACATTCTGGGGGTCAGCGAACTGAAATGGACTGGAATGGGCCACTTCACATCAGATGACCACCAGATCTACTACTGCGGACAAGAGAACATAGAAGAAATGGAGTAGCCTTCATAATTAATAAGAAATTCGCTAAAGCGGTGCTTGGATACAACCCAAAAAATGACAGAATGATCTCAATTCGAGTGCAAGGAAAGCCTTTCAACATTACAGTGATCCAAATATATGCCCCAACCACAGCTGCTGAAAAAGCAGAAGTAGATCAGTTCTATGAGGATCTGCAGGAACTACTTGATAATACACCAAAAAGAGACATTATTTTCATTACAGGAGACTGGAATGCCAAGGTGGGAAGTCAAATGACAACAGGGATCACAGGCAAGCATGGTCTGGGAGAACAAAATGAAGCGGGATGCAGGCTGATAGAATTTTGCCAGGAAAACTCGCTGTGTATAACGAATACTCTCTTCCAACAACCTAAAAGACGGCTTTACACATGGACCTCACCAGATGGTCAACACCGAAATCAGATTGACTACATCCTTTGCAGCCAAAGGTGGCGGACATCCATCCAGTCGGTGAAAACAAGACCTGGGGCTGACTGTAGCTCAGATCACGAACTTCTTATTGCCCAATTTAGAATAAAACTAAAGAGATCAGGGAAAATACACAGACCAGTTAGATATGATCTCGCTAACATTCCTAGCGAATATACAGTGGAAGTGAAGAACAGATTTGAAGGACTAGATTTAGTAAACAGAGTCCCAGAAGAACTATGGACAGAAGTCCGAGACATTGTTCAGGAGGCGGCAACAAAGTACGTTCCAAAGAAAAAGAAAACCAAGAAGGCAAAATGGTTGTCTGCTGAGACACTGGAAGTAGCCCAAGAAAGGAGGAAAGCAAAAGGAACAGGGATAAGGGGAGATATGCCCAGTTAAATGCGCAATTCCAGAGGTTAGCCAGAAGAGATAAGGAACTATTTTTAAATAAGCAATGCATGGAAGTGGAAGAAGACAACAGAATAGGAAGGACAAGAGACCTCTTCCAGAAAATTAGACACATTGGAGGTAAATTTCAGGCAAAAATTGGTATGATAAGAAACAAAGATGGCAGGGACCTAACAGAAGCTGAAGAGATCAAGAGAAGGTGGCGAGACTATACAGAAGATCTGTATAGGAAGGATAATAATATTGAGGATAGTTTTGCCGGTGTGGTGAATGAATTAGAACCAGACATCCTGAGGAGTGAGGTTGAATGGGCCTTAAGAAGCATTGCTAACAACAAGGCAGCAGGAGATGACGGGATCCCAGCTGAACTGTTTAAAATCTTAAAAGATGATGCTGTCAAGGTGATGCATGCCATATGCCAGCAAATATGGAAAACACAAGAATGGCCATCAGACTGGAAAAAATCAACTTATATCCCCATACCAAAAAAGGGAAATGCGAAAGACTGCTCAAACTTCCGTACAGTGGCCCTTATTTCTCATGCCAGTAAGGTAATGCTCAAGATCCTGCAAGGAAGACTACAGCAATACATGGAGCGAGAGTTGCCAGATGTTCAAGCTGGGTTTAGAAAAGGCAGAGGAACGAGAGACCAAATTGCCAATATCCGCTGGATAATGGAGAAAGGCAGGGAGTTTCAGAAAAACATCTACTTCTGCTTCATTGACTATTCTAAAGCCTTTGACTGGGTGGATCATAATAAATTGTGGCAAGTTCTTAGTGGGATGGGCATCCCAAGCCACCTTGTCTCTCTCCTGAGGAATCTGTACAAGGACCAAGTAGCAACAGTAAGAACTGACCATGGAACAACAGACTGGTTCAAGATTGGGAAAGGCGTACGGCAAGGCTGCATACTCTCACCCAACCTATTCAACTTGTATGCAGAACACATCATGCGATGTGCGGGGCTGGATGAATGCAAAGCTGGGGTGAAAATTGCTGGAAGAAACATTAACAACCTCAGATATGCAGATGACACCACTCTGATGGCCGAAAGCGAGGAGGAGCTGAGGAGCTTTCTAATCAAGGTGAAAGAAGAAAGCGCAAAAGCCGGGTTGCAGCTAAACATAATAAAAAAAACCAAGATTATGGCAACAAGAATGATTGACAACTGGAAAATAGAGGGAGAAAACGTGGAGGCCGTGACAGACTTTGTATTTCTAGGTGCAAAGATTACTGCAGATGCAGACTGTGGCCAGGAAATCAGAAGACGCTTACTTCTTGGGAGGAGAGCAATATCCAGTCTCGATAAAATAGTAAAGAGTAGAGACATCAGACTGGCAACAAAGATCCGCCTAGTCAAAGCCATGGTATTCCCTGTAGTAACCTACGTATGTGAGAGCTGGACCTTAGGGAAGGCTGAGCGAAGGAAGATCGATGCTTTTGAGCTGTGGTGTTGGAGGAAAGTTCTGAGAGTGCCTTGGACTGCGAGAAGATCCAACCAGTCCATCCTCCAGGAAATAAAGCCCGACTGCTCACTGGAGGGAAAGATACTAGAGCCAAAGTTGAAGTACTTTGGCCACATCATGAGGAGACAGGAAAGCCTAGAGAAGACAATTATGCTGGGGAAAGTGGAAGGCAAAAGGAAGAGGGGCCGACCAAGGGCAAGATGGATGGATGGCATCCTTGAAGTGACTGGACTGACCTTGAGGAGCTGGGGGTGGTAACGGCCGACAGGGAGCTCTGGCGTGGGCTGGTCCATGAGGTCACGAAGAATCGGAGACGACTGAACGAATGAACAACAACAACATTGGTGTTTTAATTTTTCTTTTATGCTTCTTAATATATGTATTTTATAGTTTTGTGTTTTATTTGTGTGTTTTAACCTAACAATATGTGATTCCAATACAAAACAGTTATACTCACCTGCACAATGATACCTTTATCTCTGTATTCTACATTGAGACAATGACTGAAGTAATTCACAAAACCCTAAAGATATGCAAGAAAAGCAGCATCTTATGAATTCAGTATATGCAGAACCACCCATATAGTAATATTTATTATTAAAAGGAGTAAATCCAGCATCCTATACAGGTCAGCCTTGGGTGGAATGTAAGAACTCTACCAAAAGGGAAGGACATGTACACTGGCATGCTATCATGGCCAGTCAGGTGTTTCTCTGTAGGAGCACTTTCTATAACTTGCAGGACTATATTGTTTTCTGTTTTTTAAACACTTTGATATATATAAACACGTTCATAATTATTAATTTGTTCTCCTTTTCATCATCCTTAAATAGAATGAAAGGGAAAATGATCACAGCTGAAAACTACACACACTACAGTGAGAAGAGATTTGTATCACATCTTGACTACATCAACACATTAAATATCAAAAAGTTATATATCTACCTTGGTTGCTGTATAAACAGCTAAAAATGGAGCCTGATTAACTGCAACAATACTTGACATATTCAGTATGACTCCCTTGGACCTGAAAAAGGTTTTCAACAATTATTAAATAAACTGCGAGAAACAGCAGAAATAAAACTTTCTAGAGGACTCAAAGTTTTGCTCAGAACAAAACAACTGTCATATACAATATAGGCAGTAAAACATTCAAAGTGGAGGCTTTCTGCATTTCCTGCCCAGTGTGCTATAAATCCCTGGAAAACAACAATTTGATTTTCCATATAATGACAACTTCAGGATTTTGGAAACTCTTTGGAGGCTCACCTTGAACTGTCTCTGATCAGGAAGAATCAGGATTTACCTGCATTCTAGGAGTCTGTGTGTTCATGAAACACTGAACCCGGAGGTTTGAATGTTCTCCCTGCTGAAGAGGGATGAACTGCAAAAGGGACACTTTGACCTTTTCAGGATAACTACCTACCTCATGTAGCAGTGGAAAGCTTCTAAAAGAGCAGCATATGCCCTAGCTTCATTGTCGGGAAAGATAATTGCCACTGGGAGCCTGTATGCACACTTTCTTCTACCTGTCATATGACTACACCTTTTACTCTATGCCCATTTTGCTTTGACTGCTTTTCAGAAATGGCATTAAGAAGGACATTCCAGGAACACCCTAGGACAGGGGTCCTCAAACTATGGCCCGCGGGCCAGATCCTGCCCCCTGGGGGCATTTATCTGGCCCGCCGGATGCACTGGGCCACCACACCCTGAAGGGCTGTCCCACGGGTGTCCGAAGGAGGAGTATGAGGCCGGGGAGGAGAAAGAAGTTGAGCTGGGCTCCCCACATACCTTGCGGGAGGAGCAGCGCCATCTCTACTAAGCCCTCCTGGCTTTGGTCTCCCATTGTTAAGCATTAAAAACATGTAAAAGGAAGAAATTTCTTCCCTCCCCCTCTTTTGTTCTAGCCCTTTGTTTTCTTTTTCTCTCTTTCTCCTCTTCCTTTCTCCCTTCCTTCTCTCTTTCTCCCTCTTTCTCTCTCCCTTTCTTCTCCCCTCCTTTTTATATCCCTTTCTTTTCTCCCTCCCTCCTTCTTTCTCTGGTGCTTCCACCTCCACCGAGGCAGCTTTCAGGAAGAAGAAGAGGAGGAGGAGGAAGGCTTCTGATTCTCCAACAGTGCTGCTTCTGCCGGCTCCTGGTGGCTGGTGGGTGGGCGGAGGAGGGACCCACAGTCCTCCTCTTCCTCCTCTTTCAAAGCAGCAGTGACGGGGCAGCAGCGACAACAACATGACGTTCAGCCTGCAAAGGCTGAATGGCCACCTGACAGGAGTGCTTTTCCCTTATGGCAGGAGGTTGGATATACATCCTGCATATCAGATATTTACATGACGATTCATAACAGTAGAAAAATTACAATTATAAAGAAGCAACAAAAAATAATGTGGCTGGGGGTCACAACAACATGAGGAACTGTATTAAGGGGTCATGGCATTAGGAAGATGGAGAACCACTGCACTACTGGCAGTTAGGAATTGTGGGAGTTGAAGTCCAAAACACAAGCTGGCCCATGCCTGCTTTAAAGAATAGCAATGATATTTAATTCTATTGTAATGTTTCACATATTTGTAGATTCGAAATTGTATTGAAATGTAAGCAGCTTTGGCCCCTTCCACACAGCTGTATAAAATCCACACTTAACTGGCTTATATGGCAGTGTGGACTCTGAAAATGCAGTTCAAAGCAGATATTGTGGATTATCTGCCTTGATATTCTGGGTTATATGGTTGCTTGGAAGGGCCCTTTCAGAGCCCTATATCCCAGGATCTGATCCTAGGTTTTCTGTTTATCCCAAATTATCTGGCAGTTTAAAGCAGAAAACCTGGGATCAGATCCTGGAATATAGGGCCTGTCTGGAAGGGCCCACAGTCTCCTTGTGAAGACAAAAATGGGGTATAAATAAACATAATAATAATATTGTAGAACAGAAATCTGTTCCTGGTTTGAAATTGTTATTTTCTGTTTAATTGTGTGGCTCTTACTTTGAAAGTAGTAGTTCTCCTCCAGAAACATTGTGTGGCTGCCACAAACTATGATGACAAGAGGTTATGGGAATTCGGCCGATAGGCTCATCAGTAAACATATTCATGGGTTCCCTGCTATTATAGTAAGCCTATTACCCATGCTACAACATGCTTGAAGTCAAAATTTCATTTATTTGTAATTTGAAATAAATGTTTCACAATATTCCCATGTAAATTATAGTCCAGCCCTCCAAAAATCTGAGGGACAGTGAACTGGCCCTCTGTTCAAAAAGTTTGAGGAACCCTGCCCTAGGAACTGCAGCACAGAATACCAGGTTGGTGAATTTGCAAGATGACTGAGATTAGCTTTTGGATTCCATTTTTAAAAAATCACCACAACAGTGAAATAGAAAGAAAGTAAAGAAGGGAATCAAATGGCAATAGGATTCCATCACCAGATGATTCATGTACCCAAAACCATGGTTCACAGAGCATTATAGTGCTGCTAAAACATGGAGGCCAGGTTCATTAATTATCATAATATTTTTTCTAAGAAAGGATTCTCCCCTATAAATAATTTTGACTGTGTAGATAGCATATATATGATTCACCTTTTTACCATGTTAGGCAGCACCAATTGTGTCATCTGGGAAGAAAAAAAACAGCAAATTTTGTCAAAGGAAAGTCACTGAAATATAATAAATACTATAATCTTAGACATATATGTGGGAATAATACGTCACTAAAAATGAAACATTTATCCAATAAACACTAAGTAGTTAAAACGTATAGTTTAAGGCCACAACTCCTTAATAATTAGTCAGAAGAAGGCAACATAGTTGTGGATTGTTTTCCTTCTGTCCTTGGAGCACAATTTCAAGTGAACCTTAGTAATGTCAAGGAGACCAGTTTCCAGTGGATCCTAGATCCATTAAAACTGCTTACCAGTTGCATCTTAGGGTATATACCATGGGGAGATTTATAAGATTATCCCCTATGTGCCAGGGGGAAGTATCATGTTTCTCCCACTGAATATAACTGTTTTGTTCTTTCCTGAGAACTCATCACAGATTGCCAGCCAATATCCACAGGTTGGCACTGGCCCACAGATCACCACCACAGCAGCACCAGGGTATTAGATTGCAATCAGTATTTCTTGATAAAATGTAAATAAAAACTTAAATGCAAAACACAATAACAGATTTTACCATTTTAAAAGTGGGAAGAAAGCTGTGGCTGCTGCTGTCCAGCTGCCCCGCTTTTAAATGCTGACCAAGTGGTCTGGAGTGGAAACTGTCCAATGTCTAATCTGCTTGGGAAATCCTGGTCAGAAGATGGGCAACTTAACTACTGATTGGCTGAGCTGCCCAGCAGCATATGAAAAAAACCTATGGCAGTTCTTCACTAGCCAAACAACTAAAGATGGAAGCTGTGATTCCATGGGCCTGCAGATAAGGTGTAGGGACCTGCTGCCTTTGGTCCAAGAGTAACTGTTCCTTGCAGGATATAATTGGACAATTTGATCAAATCTTTGTCCAAATTCAATTCTTTGGAATTTCTGTCAATAAAAACAAACACTACTGCATCTCCTAAAATTATCCCATAAGTGGTACTTACTTTGCAGACAGAAATGCAATTAATGTTTATCATGTTGTCAATTAGCTGAAAGAGAAAAAAATAAGAAGCATAACAGGATACTGTAAACTCTTGATATAAACGAAAAGGAAACCATACTAAACTGAATGTGAGAGTAGAGTGCTGCCATGTTTCATTTTGAAATGAAACAATTTAAGCATTTTTTTTCCATTATCAAATAAGCTATGCATGTCTATGTTAAGCTGCCAGCAAAGAAGATTGAGATTTTCTAATTTGGGGAGTTATGAGGGAATCTCAATATTCGAGGCTATGGGATGGAAGTCTGCCATGATAATAGTGAGGGCTCATATGGTGAAAGGAAATGCAGAATTTCTAAAATCTAGAATTTCTAGAATTCTAGTCAGAAAATTCAGAAAAATCAGTCCAAAAACCTGGGTCAACTTATCTACAGGTCAATGTGAATAACTTTACTCTTATCAAAAAAGAAGCCACTCTGTTCTCTGTGGAGAAAGACAAAAAGTAAGTCCATCCTGAATAAAGTATCACTCCCCTCTAGTCTCTCCCTATGCCTTCGGCCTTTACGAATGCCTGGGTGGGAAAATGACAATGACAACCTAAGGCAGCTGATTTCTGAAGCAGTATTGGTGATTTCCCTTCTTTGCAGAATATCTCTCAATTTATCCATGGGGCATACCAAAATCTGGCCTAGACTTACATACACGAGTCATCTCCCAAATCAGCTTGCTAACTTACAATGCTTTCTGGCCTAGATGTGCTAGTATTACCAGGTCACAACCAAAATTGATGCCAATGTGCTTTAATCAGAAATGAAAAATCTAAATTTGACAGCATGCTCAGATCTGCAGTATGCTACCTTCAGTACGCTTTACTAGAAACTGTCCATTATTCATTTCACAAATACTCATATAAAATTTTAAAAGTGCAGTTAACATAATGGAACAGAGTGATATGAGGTTGGAGAAATCCTGTATTCCAAGATTTGGCACAGCAATCCTAAGTCCTGGTTTTTCTCTAATGTGACACAGTTATAAAATATTTTTGGACACAATAAATGTAGAAGAGGAAAATACTTACTTTATCTAGCTCTGGGACATCAAGGAAGCACTCAGGACAAGGATAACCAATACCCACATTGTTTACTGAAAAAAACATATTTGAATAAAACCACTAAGTTATGACAATCCAATATAAAATGTGCATAATAGTATCATCAACTATTTTCCCAGCTCTTTAAGCCTTGTTTTCCTAATTTCTAATGTCTGTTATCTGTTTAGCACCCGAGTTCCTTAGCAATTTAATTATGAACATCATTTCTCTAATAGAATGGAAAGGTAGAACAAGTCATTCTCAATTTAATAAAGCATAGCTGAGATGATTAAATAGTGTTACTAGAAGTCGGAAATTGAATTGCATTATAGTACCAGCACAATGTCAATTTGGACCATATTCACATTATTTTGGAAACCACTTTTCAAATGGAATCAAAAGATAGGCCCAGTCCTGAAACCACTATACCACGCTGAATCTCCTTATTTCTGGCTTTCTTGAACTTTGCACTACCTTCTCACCTTGGGCATTGGCTCTCTTAAACTTTCTACCTGCAGGAAAATATCAAGAGAACTCCTGCAAGGATATCCAAATGCATTTCTAATGCATGAAAGGCAAAAGATCATTTTGACAGAATAGGCTGCTTTTAATAACACTGCAATATTTTAAGTTTTTGTTAGGGTGCAAGATTTCAAACTTTGTTCCAAAAGGAGCCGATGCAACAGAAATGGGTAGTTTTCCCTTTGGGTGGATATTTTTTGGAACAAATAATAAAGATTCTTAAATGGGAAAAATATACAAACCTAAGATACCAATCTCAAGGCCTTCCAGGCCTGCTTTTATGTTACTGTAAATCGTATCTCGGTTTTGAAAATCAGCAACAATTGTTTTTGTTTCCACCTTATATTTGTCCCCTGAAATGAAGCACAACACAGAGTATAAGCAAACATGTGGTATTTTATCTCAATAGTATTTCAATCAAGAAGGAACAAGAAAAGCAACAAACTGAAACATTCCAGCAAGATATAGAAAATAATGCTTCGGTGAAGTGTAGGTATGTTTATTATATAACATAATTCTGAAATGTTACATTTTCCCAATCTTTGAATTCATACAATCATCAAGCTATGGTTAATGAAATGTTGAAGCAACAGCGTTTGAACTTCCCTTTATTGCTGAGGTGGAAGTCAGAGGATTGGCCTTCTTTCAGCACTACTAAATTACTATCAAGCAAAACAGTAGAGTTGCTTAATGGTAGGATATTTGTCTTGTCTTGTAGAGGTCCCTCAACCTCTACTTGCCCCCATGCCAAATGCAGAAATTCTGATAAATGGCAAGAAAGGGCATATTTTCCTTTTCAGCAAGGCACTTCTGCATTTAAACAAGAGGCATGCCCATATGTTAATTAGTACCCAAACAAGGCAAATACAAAAGTACCAACATACAAAAATTGCAGGAATAATGGCAATAGGGTTCTCTCTTGGTTTGAAAAGGGTCAAGAAGGTTGCCATGAGTTCCCAGTTCTTGTTTAATCTTTCATTCAAACCAGTCCAGAGAGCCACAAAGTTTCTGCCATGTGCTCAGCTGAACTTGTTCCTCACAGAGAAAAAAAATGGGCCTTGTGAGGCAATTCATAGCTTTAGAGAACACTTGTGAAGCACCATAGTATGTCGAAGAATTCTTCTCACATTGCAGATTGATGCTGGCCAGAGTGAGACACTTGTCCAAAGCCATGCATACTGTATAGTTTAAGCACATTTCCCAAGTTTCAAATAAATCATCTAGCCATGCACTGTTGTATGGAGATGAGAAGACCAACAAGAATAATAGAGTTGGAAGAGACTACAGGACCACTCAGTCTCTCACCATACAGGAAAAGCAAAATCAAACACCCCTGACAGAGGGTCATCCAGCCTCTGTTTAAAAGTATCCTAAGAAGAAGCTTTCACCTCACTTTGAGGCAGAGAGTTCCATTGTTGAACAGCTCTTACGGTCAGGAAGTTCTTCCTAATGTTCAAGTGGAATCTCCTTTCCTGAAAATAATCTCAAAATGTAAGGACTTAAAGTGCAATGTATTAAAAAAACCTTTATTTACAACCATAATTATTCTTAACACTCTACACAAACTATTCAAGGTCAGTTCTTTGGTCAGAAATTTACTTTTTGTGATTAGAGAAGGTAATACAGAGTACAATGTAAACAGCATGCACTTGCATTGTGTTCACATCAAACCACTTGATCTTTATTTTAATAGCAGCTCCTCTTTACAAGTCACTTTAAATATTAGGATTTAAATCAAACTAGTGCTAGAGATAAAAAAAATAGTTTGTAATGCAGACTAGGAGGCTGAATACGAAAAGCCCTATAATGCAGTTTCAGTTCCTTTTGTGTAGACCTCAAAGTAACTAGAATTAGCCATTTCATTATGCATAGTAAAAAGTTGCATCATTTTTAAAAGCCTCAAAAGCCAAATATATCAATTTGTATTTATCTAGTGGCATCTGGCATAATTATTTTCATTCAATAGACCACTAACTGGACTTGTAACTATATCTCTTATAGAAATTGTTGGAAAATATAAAAGAAGCTGAAGGAAACTAGTTATTTATTGTTCCCAACTGAATAACACTTTAAGAAGCTCTAAAGACTAATGTAACTTGGAGCTGTGATTTGTTTATTGCCACTACAAGGGATAATCAACATTAGTTTTAAAGTGGAGTGATTCTATTCATATTTAAGGCAAGAATGGTGAAAGCTCAACTCTCTAGATGTTAGACTACCACTCTTTTATCATTAGCCATGCTGGCTGGGTCTTGTGATGGCTGATATTCAAAACATCTTAAAGGGCCAGCATTTCCCATTCCATAATTTAAAGTGCTACATCAATTTATTTGTACTTCTATATATATTCATGAGGAAAAGTACTCACTTATATCACTGGCAACCTTATCTAGTTTTTCCTGAGATCTGCTGATAAGAACCACCTTCATTCTTCGCTTTGCCAACTGAAAAAACAAATGGTGAAAGTTTCAAGATAGTCTGTTAATGCACTGTGGTAGTATTTTATTTGTGTATTAATGTATGTGTATATGTATGTATTTATAAAGAGGATGGAGAATGAGCCTTTCTACCATTCACTCTTTATGTCCAATATATAAACAGTTCCTGTCTGATCCTCATTTTCATGATCCCTGAAAGCATTAGCCAAAAGAAACAAGGAGAGACAGGACACAAGGAGGTGACTATGGATTCCAGAAATGACTACAGTTACACTGGAATCAGATGACTGGTATATGGAGTATTCTTAACAAGCAGTGTGGATTCTCTGGCCCAAGATACTAACAGTAGTGAGGCAATGCACGGTTGAGGGGAACCAAACTGAACCATGAAGATGGGATGCTCAGTTGGGAATGGCGCAAGGGTGGAACATTTTTCTTTGTTCCCTTCTCTTCTTCTTCTTGTCTTTACTATAGGCTCAGGACCTGGCCCCATAACTAAACGACAGTTTCTCGGGGGAAGTGGGGTTATTCCATTGGCAGATGTCAGGCCATCTTGGCTTGGAGGGTTGACAACTGTTGCAAAGACTGCTTTATTGCCAGATGAACTGATAGTGCTGGACAGTGACAATGGAGGCATTGATGATACTGAAGAGATAGGTGTCAAGACCAGGCCAGTATGACTGAACCACATCCAATTTGACCACACAGAGGAGGCATTTAGTGTGGCCATTATTGTCAGGGATCCTTTCCCAAAAGAAGAGGAGGGCATTGTGCCTAGACAAAATTGTAAGACTAGGATATAAGCTGAGACTGGGGAGCCAGAAAGACAGAGTAATCAAAAGTCCAAGGCTCATAAGGACCACATGGTGAAAAAGAGGCCAAACAGTCTGAGTTAACCAAAGAAGAAAAACAGAGAACAATATAACAAAGTGTATCAAAACAAAAAGCACCAAATACTCAAAAAAGTTCCTAGGTGTTGCTGCTGTAGCCAACGAAAAGGAAGGAATAATCAGACAGGAATTGCCCATATGTGGCACATGGAGAGTAGGTGGAGTTACCAACAAAATGTTTCAAAAAAGCTCTTTAGGGTTTCAAATGGTGTTCTGAACAGGTGCGAGATACCAATTTGTGTGCTTCACAGAGACAATGAAGAAGAAATTAATGACATGATACCTTACCTCTTCTGCATAGGCTTTCCCAATTCCATCAGTAGCTCCTGTTACAACTAAAGAAAGCCAAGGAGAAAAGTAGAGATGAGTTATAGTAAAGTAAGATTTCATTTTGTGTATGAAGGTTTAATAAGTTTAACACAATGACTTGACTTTCTAAAAGTTGTTTTTTAGAATTTAAACAAGATGTGGTTCCTTCTCATGTTTTCTGTTATGATTTGTTGTTGTTTATTTGTTCAGTAGCTTCTGACTCTTCGAGACCTCATGGACCAGCCCACCCCAGAGCTCGCTGTCAGTCGTTGCCACTTCCAGCTCTTTCAAGGTCAAGCCAGTCACTGTTATGATTTGGTTTAGCCTATTAAATGTTCAAGTAATAAATAGAAGCTTACAAGTACACTATACTAAGTTCATGCACAATAAACTTTTCAGCATTTCCAATAACTAAATATAGCTGACTTAAAAGAAGATGCACAAATTTACACAACTAAGTCAAACCAGAAAGTAACTCCTTTACAAAAGAGTTAAAACCCTTCTGTAGTTCAATCATCATTTATTTTAGTGTGTCTTGAAGTCATTTCTGATTTAGGGTAACCCTAAAGCTATCATGGAGTGATCTTCATATTTGTTCAGTGGGGGTTTGCCACTGCCTTCCTCTGGAACTAAGAGACTGTGACTTAGAATCATAGAATCATAGAATCAAAGAGTTGGAAAAGACCTCATGGGCCATCCAGTCCAACCCCCTGCCAAGAAGCAGGAATATTGCATTCAAATCACCCCTGACAGATGGCCATCCAGCCTCTGTTTAAAAGCTTCCAAAGAAGGAGCCTCCACCACACTCCGGGCAGAGAGTTCCACTGCTGAACGGCTCTCACAGTCAGGAAGTTCTTCCTCATGTTCAGATGGAATCTCCTTTCTTTTAGTTTGAAGCCATTGTTCCACGTCCTAGTCTCCAGGGAAGCAGAAAACAAGCTTGCTCCCTCCTCCCTGTGGCTTCCTCTCACATATTTATACATGGCTATCATATCTCCTCTTAGCCTTCTCTTCTTCAGGCTAAACATGCCCAGCTCCTTAAGCCGCTCCTCATAGGGCTTGTTCTCCAGACCCTTGATTCATTTTAGTCGCCCTCCTCTGGACACATTCCAGCTTGTCAATATCTCTCTTGAATTGTGGTGCCCAGAACTGGACACAATATTCCAGATGTGGTCTAACCAAAACAGAATAGAGGGGTAGCATTACTTCCCTAGATCTAGACACTATGCTCCTATTGATGCAGGCCAAAATCCCATTGGCTTTTTTTGCCGCCACATCACATTGTTGGCTCATGTTTAACTTGTTGTCCACAAGGACTCCAAGATCTTTTCACACGTACTGCTCTCGAGCCAGGCGTCACCCATTCTCTATCTTTGCATTTCGTTTTTCCTGCCAAAGTGGAGTATCTTGCATTTGTCACTGTTGAACTTCATTTTGTTAGTTTTGGCCCATCTCTCTAATCTGTCAAGATCGTTTTGAATCCTGCTCCTGTCCTCTGGAGTATTGGCTATCCCTCCCAATTTGGTGTCGTCTGCAAACTTGATGATCATGCCTTCTAACCCTTCATCTAAGTCATTAATAAAGATGTTGAACAGGACCGGGCCCAGGACGGAACCCTGCGGCACTCCGCTCGTCACTTCTTTCCAGGATGAAGAGGAAGCATTAGTGAGCACTCTCTGTGTTCATCCATTTAACCAATTCCAGATCCACCTCACCGTAGTTTTGCCTAGCCCACATTGGACTAGTTTCCTTGCCAGAAGGTCATGGGGGACCTTGTCGAAGGCCTTACTGAAATCCAGGTACGCTACATCCACGGCATTCCGCATCTACCCAGCTTGTAACTCTATCGAAAAAAGAGATCAGATTAGTCTGGCATGACTTGTTTTTGATAAATCCATGTTGACTATTAGCCAATGACCGCATTTGTTTCTAAGTGTTTGCAGACCACTTCCTTAACAATCTTTTCCAGAATCTTGCCTGGTATTGACGTGAGGCTGACCGCATGGTAGTTGTTTGGGTCATCCTTTTTTCCCTTCTTGAAGATTGGGACCACATTGGCCCTCCTCCAATCTGCTGGAACTTCTCCTGTTCTCCAAGAACTCTCAAAGATGGTTGCCAATGGTTCCGAAATGACTTCCGCTAGTTCCTTCAATACTCTTGGGTGTAATTGATCTGGCCCTGGGGACTTGAACTCATTTAGAGCGGCCAGGTATTCCTGTACGACTTGTTTCCCAATTTGGAGTTGGATGTCCTCAAATCCCTCATCCACTCCGTCTTGCTGAGGTTGAAGATGACTTTCTTTTTGTGAGAAGACCGAGGCAAAGAAGGTATTTAGTAGTTCTGCCTTTTCCCTATCCCCTGTCAGCATTGCCCCATCTTCTCCTCGAAGAGGCCCTATCGCCTCCTTGTTTTTCCTTTTTCTGTTTTTCCTTTTTACTTACTTACCCAGGATCACCTGGGTAAGTAAGTAAGCACAACTAAAATGACTTTGTTCTATTAGGTATTGTCTGTACTAAGCAAGAACATCAATACTGTAATTTTTGCAAGTCTAAAGTTGAATATCCTCTTCAATTATTTCTTTTTTTACTTCCTTCATTGATTTTTATGCTAATTTGCTTTCTCCAACAGTGGGCAGAAAACTACAGTAATTATTTGACCTTGTACGTGAGTTTCAAACAAAAAGGGATTTACATCCCTACAATCAAGTGAGTATAACTGACATATGCCAATATGGACTGAAAAGTAATTTTAGATACCATCTGGGTGATAACTTTGAAGCCCAGAATATATTGGTTTGGATCAAAATAGCAATAGTAATTCAAAAACCAAGCCCAAATGAACACATTTCAAACATTAATATATTATTACATTCTAACAGCATTGCAAATCCAATAATGTGCTTGGGAAGCAGCCTTACAGACATTTATCTGAAAGTAAAATAATCCACTGAATTCACTAGATACTTCTAGTAGATGTGAATAGGATCATGTAACACACAAATTGTCCCATTGTGAAATCTATAATCCAATGTTATTATAAATCAAGTTAAATAGCAAAAATAGTAAAATGGAGATGACATTTAAACCAGAACCCTTTCCTAAAACTTCATTTGGCACAATCAACTAAACAGTATCTCATTTTTAAAAATAATTACACAGCTATTTGATCTACTTTGCCCTTCTATATTAATAAGCTCTTATGCAGAACCAATAATTTCAAAAGAATTTAAAGAGTCATCAAAAGACAGTAGCATAAAGTATGATACAGAGACAAATAAAATAAAACAAAACAAAAACTCCTGCGAGATGTACAAATGTTGGCCCCGAGTGACTAAAACAGTATATTTAAAATACCAAAACACAGCAATACTTCACATTAGCTGTGAGAATAGAAAGAAAGAGACTATAACCAAAAAAGGTAGCAATGTGATCACCAAGTGTGTTTCTTTAGAGGTACAACTGGATAAATCACCTTCGGACATGACAGCTTTAAAGATAAGACTAAATCTTGGAATAGATTTACTGCCCCACTGGCACAGAAGGCACTAGCTGCCACTTCCCAGTTGTTTTCGCTATTTGCTTTCAAATCAATTCCAACTGATGGTGATGCTAATGTAGGTTTTCTTGGCAAGGTTTCTTCAGAGAACGTTTTCTATTGCCTTCCTCTAAGAACAAAATGGTGTGTGTTGCACAAGGTCACCAACTGGCTTGCAGATCTGTAACTCATTGGCCAAGCAGGGATGTCAACTAGGTCTCCTGGATACCTAGGGCCCAACCACATAGTCCCTTTATCCCAGGAGATCCCGGTTCAAAATCGAATGTGGTTAGACAACATTTTGTAAAACGCAGGAGGAATCGGGTTAAAGGCTGCAAAGCACGTGTTTAACAGTTGCCCTTTAAACCTGGTTCTTCCTGAGAAACACACATATTTCAATGACTGGATATTAGGGCTGGGCGGTTTCGTTTCGTTAATTCGTAATTCGTTAATAATTCGTTAATTTTTTCAATT